TTCACTCCGCTCATACTTTGTGAGTTGACACTGGAAAGCAAATTTTCCCCCGTATTATTTTTGATGTTATGGGCTATGGGTATATCGCAGGGCTTCATGGATACGAGCACTGCACCATCAACCAGAGTGAAGAGAGAATGACAGAAGACTGACAATTATCGGATGCCCAACTTATTTTTGAAGTTCTGGAAAAACGCTTGCTTGCATTCTAGCGATTCGCATATGGTCGTTCAAGAGTAAAAGTAACCTAGACTACAAATGATCGATTTTTTTCAGTGAGAAAAATACGACTGAGATGGTACAAACAGAATCAACGGCGACACAAGCTATTCGGTGATTTAAAAAATTACTTAGATTCTGCGAACCATGGAGCATTGTGGATCTTTCCGATGAAACTGGACTGCTCACTCGAATTCTTTAATTTCATAGAGTCTGGAGTATAAGGTAAATTCAAAGTACATAGAACTAAGTTCGGAGACTTCAGTGCTATCACAAAAGTAAAAGGAGACTGCGTTAAGGAAGCAAACTTATACAAATTGTGGTCAGCTGTACTATTGACAGGGGGGTTTTGGAAATGATATTGCTATTCAGCTGACCGAGAAAGTCAACTATATAAGCCAGAAGTGCCTCCCGGTCGATCTAATGTTACATTACACAAAGGTCAATATGGTTGCATTCGCCGACAAACATGCTTTTTTGGCACTTCCTGAAGCGGAACTACGGCGAATAAAGAAATTAGTCGCGTTGACAGCATCCCGTTTTGGTATAACTATAATTAGATCTGGAATGTTCTCTTTTTACCTGTTTTTGCCTGGAGACACCAGAATGTACTAAACATAGAGGTGAATGGTGGCTGCATATAACTCAGGTTTGTGCTATCTCAACAGTGTCCTAACTGCCGACCAAACGGTAGACAATTGGTTAATTCTGCAGGCATCGAAGGATAGTGTAGCATTTGATAGACATTAAAAAGTGTCTGGGACTATTGCAAACTGTGAGAAGACACAAAGATCGCCGGGCCATCGTATTGTCTCCACACTCACATAGAAGTAAAATTTGGACAGTTTAGTGGACCTCGATCCTCATCCTAAGCTGACTTCATCTGCAAGATCTGCGGACTACTAAGCGTGTATGTCAGTAAGGCGGTGTCCAAGGTTTTCGAGTTCTTCAGAAGGCAAAATTATTGGAAATCAGAGAAGACTTGACCAGCAGCCGGCAGCACTCATTTGACAGCGTCAAAATCCCATGGACGCTAATATGACACAGAGTTACCTGGGTATCCGATTACAAACGATCCACTCCTAATTGAATCACAAATGACCTCACATCAGTAAACTTGTAAAGGTATTCAGCCTGTGAACGTAACTACGTAATCGCCGTCGGACGTACAGGACACCAGTGCCCTAATGGTGCATCAGTCGCGAAGTGACGCCAAGTAGAATGCGGTAAGTTCGCTCCACTTCCATTCGATTCAGGTGTGAAGGTGTATACTACTGATAAAGCATGCGAGTAGGCTACGGTCTGCTGTCCAAGCCTCGCGATCGCATCTGATGGAAGATGAAGTTTATTACGGAAATTGTGGAACTGCTCTGCAGTATTCGTTTGATACTGCGTAATAGTCCAGGATATCCAGAGCGTTCAAGAGGACATGTGATGTTTAATTTTGTAACACTGCATTTGAGAGGTTTATTTTCCTGTCCTTGTAACTCCTTAGGTCGTATTTGTTGACGGGTGACTTTGCAGCAAATGATTAAAACACATGTAGTCCCTTACTGTAACTGTGCCACCTGTTTTGAATTATGACCATTTTGCCTCGAGGAATTTGTTTGGGAGCTTCTGGACAGAGAGAGTGCCGGCTCTGCTGAAACCCAAGGAAACTGGCGGATGACACTCGAACCTCAGTGCTAACATTTTCATTGGTGTTCAATACAATGTCATTATTCTTAGGTTGGTTGGTGATTTTCAACAGACTACTTTGAGTTTACTTCCGGTGCGCAAACTCGTGCCTAGTAGCAAATCCAACAGCACACAAACTTCTCTGTTATTGCAGCTGTGTGCGGGAGCTGACTGTCGACAACCAAATTCTAATCGTACGTTAGCCAACCATAGTACACCTGGTACTCTCATCTAATCTATTTGAATTCGCTCATTATTTTTTCGTCGCATACCTGAATGGTTGCTGGTCCAATCAGTATTGTTGAAGGTCCTGTAAACTATGCGATGCAATCAGTTTTTATAAAAAACATCAAAATCTTTGCTGCTCACATGCAAGTCAAAACTTCCCCCCTTCGATCACTGTATTTGGAGATCGTCCCCAAAAGTGAACTCAAGAGACATACGTAGGTTTATTGTACAATGCGGTTAAGCTGTTCATTAGGTTGTACCATATTACTACGGGGGCACACACTTTCCAACACTGAAATTCAAGTTCATCTGACCCGGATCCTTCAGAAACTTACCAGGACTACAATGCCCATCGAAAGTTTGCTTCTATTTTTGTTAGCCTATACAACTTAATACTCGCGGGCTCTCTCTGCCACACTTTATTCAACTGTGGGAGAAACGACTACAGAACAGGAAGGCGTGCAGCAGTCAAAGCCCTTATGTTGTTGATCAAGCTAGTAGTTGGCCATCTCGGTCACAAAGGCTACCATGACAAGCTCTGAGGCGGCTGTGCAGCGCGGATGGAAGGCTTCATTCTTTCGGCCTTGAAAATGGCAAGCTTGTGTATAGGAAAGGTCAGCAAATCAAGTCAGACGAACCGTATGACCCTGGTCCTTCATCGCTTCCATTACTTGGAAAGTGTGCTGTCTCATCGAGCAAGTATGTTCTCTGGTGTGTTCACGGGGAAATATTGCTAGCTTTTGGAGCGCCTGGGATAATAACTATGACCATAGAAAAAAGTGATAAGATTAAGACCAGACGTCTGTACATCCGTTCCGTTGGAGCTGTTTGAAAATAAGTGAAATTCACCCTGTTGGGCCAAAAATCGGATTGGCTTGCATACTCTGTTTGGTTCACTCTGCTACTTCGGCAGTGAGTAGAAAATTATGCTGTATACTTACTGTTCTTTAATTGTAATCATACCTTTGGAAGTGCCAACAAAGGATGACTGGTACTGCACTTTACCGATACAGACGGTAAGCGGGACTTAATGAAACCAATGGATGGCTGTGTAAGAGACCACAGGAGTGGTAACCGGTTGTCGTCCCTACTTCCGACTGGCAGTCGTACCATCAGAGTGCAGTTTCCCCTCTTTTTAGCGTCCTTCACCATTTTTCCTGATTATGTGAAGTACACTGACGGCATGGTAAATGGCTCTAACTTTTGCGATTCCGCGCTTGAAAACTGCAATAAATAAAATTGATTAATGTTTAAGTTAATGGCCATTCCAGATGCCCTCATTGCAAAGACGGTGTCTTCGTCGTCACCTCTGACCTCAACTCAATGACCTATTCAGCAACTGTCATCCCTTCATTGTCCTCATTGTTTCGCTTTCTGGAACTCGGGTTGTGAAATGTGACGTTATCGGTCAACTCTCGTTGGCAACCCCACGTTTCAAGTGTCTTTAATGAAGTGCAGCGTCCAGCCTGTTAGGCATGAGATTGAGAACGTCCCTCGAACGTTTCATAAGAGAGACTACTTATGAGGTTGATGAAAACTCTTAGATCTTGTGAGTAGTTTTCCATATGAAAATGTGCTGTTATATCTTGAATATCGTAGCAACTGAAACATGAGCGGACTTTTGTGCAACACATTCAGTTGAAGAATATCATAACCCAGAGATTCAGTTGAGTTTCCTGAGAAAGCCCAGGTGGTATGCAAATGAGTGCATTCGTCGAACCCCTCCAACTTATTCATAGGTATGTAATTGTTGGTATCCTTCCATAATAGACTCACTGTTTCCCCGTACCATTCCTGGGGTGGTATGGGAAGGATTAAGAGCTTATTGTTAAAAAATCGATCGTTCAGCTGTAACACCTTTCTGGGGCCTAGATGCCATACCATCCGAAGGAAGCACTGGGGCTGGGATACTGCGAGGTTGCCCAAGCCTAGACAGGGGAAGTCGAGTGGCAGAGGTCTGGTTCAAACCACGGACCTTCCGGTCAGTAAATTCGCGCTCTAATCACTGAGACACCTCGCCGCAGCTAAATGTTAGGCGCTAAAACATCTCCACATGCAATGAAACCTTGGAAACTTCTTTAGTTGACTTCCTGGTCAGCAAGCATTTTAGGCCTGTTCCAATTTCACCCAACGAATTATCTTGGCAATTTATCAGCCTCTTCACCAGTCACTCAGCAAAGCCACATCTAAATCACCCCGGTTTCGAGTCATTATCCTTCAGAAATTCTGTTTACCCTAACTCATTCTGTGGCTAACCTCACTAACTCACATAACCTGTTAATTCGATAACTCGTCTGGTGGGTTCATGAGTGCCTATTTTAGCGTATTTTCTCATTGTGACGTACAGAGATCCCGCTATAATTTTGCATACAGAAATCTTCGGATGCATAAAGCTTTCTTACTTTACTTGACAAGCCGGTTCGCTTCTTTTGACTACAATTTTTGTCCGAAAGCAAGCCCAAATGTGCCGGTCAACTTTTTATCACTGTGTCCATTGAGGTCGTGATGAGTTCCCTATTGGCCTCAGTTTTACAGACACAATTCTGGTGGGAGTTCATGGTGAGCATCTGCAGTTCCTAAACCTTTAACTCAAATTGTACAAAAAGAACAACAAAACATTTATTTCGTGAGCAGTTGTTGTGTCGGTTGTTTCCCTGACAGCTCCGATACATTCAGGTTTGCCAAAAACTAACCAATCATTGAAGAGCAAAATGTCTATCCGCCCTTTCCAATCAGTCGGCCAACTGCAGATATTGCGGGTCGATAGCATCATCGTCCCCGAATAAGATTGATCTTTGCGCGTCCGCAGTTCTGATTCGTCATTTGCCGGTCGTGATGACGCCATCTAGTGCCTATATGAGAACAGGCCGCAAATGGAAGAGGGGATGTGCACAATTGATCATAGTAACGAAAACGCCTTTCGTTGAAATACGGACGGCTTTTGGGCTGTTTTCGAAGCAATTTTGCATTTGGAAAATTTCAACAGCAAATGTCTAGACAGTGAACAGTGCTGCCAAAGTGTACCGCGTGGTCGACTTGAAAACAGAGTAAGTCTCCTCAACATGACTGTTCAGTTGGTACTGAAAAGGCAGTGTTATCCCATATTTTACTGGTTGCACATGTATCCAGGCAGCACAAGTCGCTTGGCTATGTAACAGTTGTGAATAGAAGAACTCATCGTCTCGAAGGAATGCTTTCGGATTTGCACGGAGAGTTCCCTCTGGACTGACGAATTCACGGGAATTCCCTCGTTATTAACCAGCTCTAAACTCATCACCCTTCAGTGACAAGGAAGCTTTCAAAATTTCGCCCTGCATTCTAGCCGAAAAGATCTTCCTTTGAACACCTGCAATAAAATAATATTCAGGAATTTTCAAAGATATATCTAGCTAAACTGACGATAATGAAAAATGTGTTGAGACTGATTCATGCATAAATGGGTGTTAGTGGCGTAAAATTTGCCTGAGGACGGGCGTGTCCATGGTGTTTCCTCCTGGTTTAGACCAGATCACAGGGTCTGCGAATGGTCCCAAAGTCAGCATAAGGGACACCACTAGTGATTTAACCTGTTATGTACAGTAAACCATAGATGACTGTGATAATTTAGTGCTGTAATGGAAATTAGCCTTCTACAGTATCCATGTTTGTAAAATGACTAACTGCATGATAGAGTCTTGTGCGTGTGGATGAGTAAAATGCTATCAATTATCTAAGTGATACTAAGTAAGGGTTGAATAGAACCACTGTGTGGTACACGTAACTATGATATGGAAATAGAAAACTACAGTCAGTTGCAAATGAGTTCGGTTTTCATCGGAGACTCAGTAAATCTTCCGTTTATGATGTTCCTTCTCAACTGGATGCGCTACCGTCTAATGTTTCAGTTGGTAGGCTATTCGACATATCGTAGTATATTTTCATAAAGGGAACTACTCACAAGGTTTTTGAAGAATATCGTAAACGAGGGACTCAGTTGAGTACCCCGTGAAAACCAAATTGATATGCAAATGGGAGTACCTGTCGAAACTTGTCCCATATGGGTTCAAGTAAAACATAAGTTTGACGGAAACTTAGGAAATGAGCTTTCTTGGTGAACCCGGGAAGGGCGAAACCGGCCCTGAGCTACTGGTGAGTTTTCGGCAACCTTGCGAGTAGTTTGCTTTGTGTATACGTTATGGAAACTTTTAAAGTCAAAACACATCGACTAATTTAACTAACAGAATCCAACGTTTCTGTTGCCGATTTTACAACCAATTGTGGAAATCCTTCAAGAAGGTTGCCCGCGGCAACCAAAACGCCGGATAATAATATATCATTCGACTCCGCTGTCTTGAGTTTAAAAGTTTCTCTATTATACGCCATGTGGCGCTTAATTATTTTAACAATATTGCAGCCGGGTCGGGCCCGAATTTCGTAGCTGTGTTGCTTGAAATGTTCGGATACTGCTGACCTTGAGCTGATAACACGGCATCCTATGTTGATCTGTTTACGTGCCGGTTGTCAGGGTCAACCATTATCGAGATAGAGTTAAGTTTATCCCCAGCCACAAATATGCTTAAAATTTGTGGTTTTAAAATATGCCAGTGCAAACAGTAAACTAGTAGCTTCCTGAAATGCTACCCTGTGCCAAAGTTTGAATATCTGGTTTGGAGTGACAGGATACACGAAACTACTTATCCTCGACAAGTATGCAAGAACTATTCACCGATATTGAACTTTTTAGGACAAAAATATGATACCTGATATCATCTTAATTGTAAGTGTTGTACAATTCCGAGTACTTCATTTGGTTGCTTTGGAAAACGCGGGCCACAATTTTTATTGAAGATCTCACTGCGAACTAATACTAGATCAAGCTGGATTGGTTAGTTCTGAACCGAGCAGATTAAATGTATCTTTAAAAACACCGACATGAATGAGTGGGTATGACTGGTCTAGTACCGGGTTTTAAGTCAAATAAAATATTAGACTGATACTGAAAGGCTTTTGGGTTACGATCAAGTATACGGTGGACGGCTCTTAATGTTCTTGTCGTAAGTACCACCATCCGAGTCTATGGGGACCTGATGTGGTTCGTCATTACAAGACCCTGGTCTTAATTGACGTTTAAGTCCGTTTTTTCGCGTATATTTCGCCTGTGTTGCAGTTCTATCGTGATACGTTGAATGGTGTTCTATTTAGCTTACTTTATATTTTTGTTGTGCTTTATTTCTATGTATGGATCTGCAAGTGATTCGTTTTAACACCCAAGACATTCCGAAGTTTTAGGAGTGAAATGGTCCGTCCAATATTGTAAAGCTAAACTAATTCTTGGCTGACAGTAACCAGCCATATGTGTATAATTAGTGCGCATCTTGTGAGTCGACCCATATGCATGCTGTGGGTGAAAAATCCTTATATGCCTCTACATGAGTTAACAGTTCTGGGTCATCATTCACACATAGCGATTGCATTACAGTTGACCTACGTCTCCAACTCCTTCGGTTTTAATATAGATAAACAGTGTTCGGCTGGTTGTATACACAGATCGTTAGAAACCGCAGTCCGAATATTGCCTGCAAAGGTGTTAGAGATGACTGTGTCCAACTGGCTAGCTGGTTTGAAGTGTTTAGCCACATGTGTGCCTAAGATGCGTCTCCTTAGTGGCGCTGGCCACCAGATGTCTTGTTGCAGGCACTGTGATGCCACATTTTTCAGTTGTACCCACTTGGATTAACACTATGGGTCACCATTTGTGGATTTTGACTGCTCTAGAACTATCCCTTCCCCTGTTTGTTCCCCAGTTTTACTCCCTCAATTTTACGCCGTGTACACGGTGTTCAGGTGGATGCTCTGCAATTCAGAGCAAACTCACGTTTTGCGAATTTCCATCATGGTACTGCGATATGGCAGACCAATAGGGAAACGCTTGCCAACCCACCGTGTAAAGCTTAGGATGGCCTGAGAAGCTGGGATAAATTACTGCTGCGTCACTAACGGAGAACAAAATAGAACGACGCTTGGATTTTGTGGTCATCAAATCATATGCCAGATAGAAAACCAGTACCAGCTCTTGCTCCATACCTGTATTTTTACCTTACAGCAGTAAACGTGAGCACAATCATCCCAGAACTTGTAAGAGGACTCTGAATTCAAGGTCACTGGGGTGTGCAGACACCACTGTGACCGTATTTATAATGAGGGGATCGGACAAGGCAGCCAACTGGCTCCTCGTCTGTGTTAACCTGACCGTTAAGTTAATTTCTATAGATGTGAAACAGAGGACGAAAAGCTTTTCACTATTAAACACTGTTATTAACCTATTTTCTTGCTTCCAACCCATCTGAAAAATTTTGTATTTCTCACTCCGACACCCACGGTGATTGGGACATGTGTAAATTTATATTCATGAATGTGAATAACTTACAGATGGTGTCTGTAGAACTCAGTCATCATTCCCTCATTTTGTTTAATAATACAAAAATTATGGCCTTTAATGTGTATGTATTTCTAACCTAATTGAGCCAGGTTAGCATTTCATATGAAGTCTTATCCTTGCTTGAAAAAGTTGATGCGTTTGAGGTAAGCACTGCTCAGATATGGCATTTAGTATTAAACCGAAACAGGCACTTTGAGTTTGTTGGAAGAAACCACAAATCCCGTTTTACATATATTAGCTAGTAAGTTAGTTAGTTAGTGGTTAGTTAAGTTGGTTATTTGTTAGTTAGTTAGTTAGTTAGTTAGTTAGTTAGTAANNGTCTTTTCGTTATAGTTAGTTTTATTATTATTATCCTAAAATTAGAAATACAAGTACATGTAACGTCAACGAAAAGACACCACCAGGGATGACACTGTCACTCTAGACAGCCTTTAAATTTCTTCAGCCAATTTCCGATCCAGAAAACACATGGTCTCTATCGTTGCCACATACGATGGCGTCGGTATGTGTGAATGCCCAGTGTTTTTTTAGATCGATGTCTGCCTTGATTGAACCCCTTTCTTGCAGTGGTCTGTGAAAGCTGAAAATTGCTCTAGTTGGTCCAATTGATATATCTTTTTAGTACGCCATTCTATAGATAATATCCTCTGAGCTTAAACTGCCAATAGGCCTAAGAAGTACTGAATTACGAAGTAGCCCCCGAAACAGGCTAAGCGGATGATATCACCGCATTCTTACTAAAAGTGAGATTCTGGAGCGCTTCGCACACCAAAGCACGGCCCCGAAAAAGCCATTAGGTTGCACTCGTGTATACGGTATTTTTGATGCGCTTTCCCAAAACGTAACCAAAAACTGCCTACGGTTCAGTCATCTATCGGAAACTGACTTTGCTGTTTTTCCCTCCGGGTTTTACTCGTGGTATCTGCACACAAACTGATTCTTTTGGTTCCGAAATTCTTTCATCAATCCTGTAATTTTGAATGAAGCCTTCTCTGTAGATGATAAACCAATTTTTATCAGAATGACTATGAAGTTTTGCAAGAATTTTCTAAAACTAAAGGATGTTTAGACTGAAAAGTTAATTTCTGCGAACGACTGATGGCAAAACATTGTTAGCTGTAGCCTTTAGGTGTCAGAGGTTTACCCGTAGAAAAACATTGTTAGCTGTAGCCTTTAGGTGTAGGTGATACGGGATGTTTCCTCCAAATCGAAAACAAGCCATCAGATTAATCTGTTTCGGAGTGCCATGACTCACACAAAATTCAATTACCGGTCAAATCATCTGATAAAATTTTCCTTGCGAAGAAATGCTGTTTATCAGTTCAGTTGCAGCTGCTGTGTTGATTAATCTTTCTGACAAACAGCGTAACTTCGTGAAATGCAACATTCTATATTAAAACTACTCACGAGGTTGTTGAAAAGCCTTCGAGATTGTGAGTAGGCTCTTTCAAAGAAAAAGTGAAGCAGCCTTTGTTCAGCTGATTCATTTGAACAATATCATAAACGAGAGATCTATCTGGTATTCATTTGAAACTGGACTGATGTGCAAACGAGTTTATTTCACAATTTCCGTATTTGACTTGGTAAAATTTCAATAAAACCAGCTCCACTTTTTTTCAAATTGTCAGG